TCTATCTATCTATCTATCTATCTATCTATCTATCTATCTATCTATCATCAGAGTTGAATGAAAAGTGAGGCCTCCAATGTTATAAGAAGCCAACACATGGCGGTACTGATGTGCTAGAAACTGTGACGTGTTCCTTAGCCTCTGTTGGTGGGAAGTTGCTGTGAGAAAAAGTTTCATTGCTATTGTTTCTGAAATGGATACCTACAGTGGGGGGAAAAAGTATTTAGTCAGCCACCAATTGTGCAGGTTCTCCCACTTAAAAAGATGAGAGAGGCCTGTAATTTTCATCATAGGTATACCTCAACTATGCCTCTGTCATTGCCAACAAAGGATATATAACAAAGTATTGAGATGAACTTTTGATATTGACCAAATACTTATTTTCCACCATGATTTGCAAATAAATTCTTTAAAAATCAGACAATGTGATTTTCTGGATTTTTTTTCTCATTTTGTCTCTCATAGTTGAGGTATACCTATGATGAAAATCCTCTGTCATTGCCAACAAAGGATATATAACAAAGTATTGAGATGAACTTTTGATATTGACCAAATACTTATTTTCCACCATGATTTGCAAATAAATTCTTTAAAAATCAGACAATGTGATTTTCTGGATTTTTTTTCTCATTTTGTCTCTCATAGTTGAGGTATACCTATGATGAAAATCCTCTGTCATTGCCAACAAAGGATATATAACAAAGTATTGAGATGAACTTTTGATATTGACCAAATACTTATTTTCCACCATGATTTGCAAATAAATTCTTTAAAAATCAGACAATGTGATTTTCTGGATTTTTTTTCTCATTTTGTCTCTCATAGTTGAGGTATACCTATGATGAAAATCCTCTGTCATTGCCAACAAAGGATATATAACAAAGTATTGAGATGAACTTTTGATATTGACCAAATACTTATTTTCCACCATGATTTGCAAATAAATTCTTTAAAAATCAGACAATGTGATTTTCTGGATTTTTTTTCTCATTTTGTCTCTCATAGTTGAGGTATACCTATGATGAAAATATCACATTGTCTGATTTTTAAAGAATTTATTTGCAAATCATGGTGGAAAATAAGTATTTGGTCAATATCAAAAGTTCATCTCAATACTTTGTTATATATCCTTTGTTGGCAATGACAGAGGTATAGTTGAGGTATACCTATGATGAAAATTACAGGCCTCTCTCATCTTTTTAAGTGGGAGAACTTGCACAATTGGTGGCTGACTAAATACTTTTTTGCCCCACTGTACAGTAAGTACTCATCAGTGTGTTTTAAGCAACACACCCTAACTGAATTTTTAAGTCCTTGAAGGGATCCCTCTAATTGAAATTCACTACCAAATTCATTTTGTGTATGGCAATGACTGCGTTGATGTGAGTACTGTGCATCATTGGGCCACAAAAATATAAAGATGGTGAACTGGGAAGAGTTGAAGGTGAAGAATTTCTTCACAACATTGTGATAGCCAATGAAATAGGCGCTCATCATTATGACTCAATACTGGTGTCAGTCCATAGAAAATCATCACAAACTTTCATCTGTGGCAAAAAAAAAAAAAAAAAAATCAAGCTTCAGCAGGAAAATTCATGGTTACAGACTTTTGGGATGCAAATAATATTATTTACAAGGATTTCTTTGAACCTGGCTCCATTATCAACTTAGAACATTATACTGCAACACTCAAAACTTTGAAATATTGATTAAGCAGAGTTCAGAAGCACAAGAAAGAAATTTTGCTGGAACATGACAATGCCAGTCCTCACACTTAACAAGCTACTCAAGAGGCAATTCTAAAGTCTCACTATCTTACCCCAAATGCCATGCAGTCCAGAACTGGTGTCATGCAACTTCCAACTTTTCCCAAAATGGAAGAAATACCTTTATGGGTGTTTTTTTTTTATTCAAATGAAGAGACAGAAAGTAATGTCAGGACCTGGTTGAAGAGAAAAAAATGTGGAGTTCTTTCATGACAGCTTTAAGAAGTTAGCCTATCATTGGCAGAAGTGAATGACAAATAGTGGGGATGTGTAAATATGGCTAACAAAAGAGCTCATTTCAAGGGTTTATCTTTCAACGATTCTTTTTCTGTTTAATTATGGAAGTGGAGTCATTCCTTTTTATTCAGGCCATCCAGCCAGCCATCTATCCTTTCTTCTAGGAACTCGGGACAGTAAAAATAACCCTCCTCCCTCTAATTTTAACTTTATAAAACCTTGTGAGATAGGTTAGGTTTGAGAGTTAGGGCTGACCCACATTCATCCACTGAGTAGCTGTGGCTGAACTTGTCTGTCCCTGATCCTAGTTTGTTACCTTGATTCCTGCCCCATAGTGATTGCCTTTGTAACCCCAGATACAATCCAGATCTATTTCCTCCTCATGTGCAGGATCATTTACTTAGATTTAAGGACTTCCTGTTCTAAGGCTAGCCATGGCCCAACACAGTAATAATATTTTTATGATTTGAATGAAAGATACAATAATTTAATTTCTCTTTTTTTCCACAAATGTATTACGATTAATAACTATAGCAAATAATACTGCAAGACTTGTAGCTGATCTCATTTGAAATGAAGTTCATAAGGACTTTCGGTGTGTTCACAGGAGAATTTGACAATAATTTGAGGATATCTGAATGTGTCTTACCAGTATGTTGTATATGCTTAGTAATACTGTTCTTGGCCTTTTTCTTGGTATGGTTAACAAATCAGTACAGAACTTCCCTTAAAGTTCTTTGCTTCTTGGTTTTACCACTCTTAAGGGTATACTTTTTTCTTCAAAGGTTGCATTTCAGAATTGATTGTGCCTACTATTTTCCAATTTTCTTCTAAAATTTCCCCTGCAGTTACAGACATAAACTCTTAATATTTCTTTATAGAAGAGATTCTTGTTTGGATACAGAGAAAAAGAGGTTTTGGAATGTATGCTATGTTTTGTTGCAGTATTTTTAACATACCCTAAAAATGTGACTCCAAACCTTTTCTAACAATTCACATTCACATCACATGCAGGAAAAGGTTTCTGTCTTGCTATCCCCTTTCAAGTGTAAAGGTCTTACAGTACTATAAATGTTATTTAATACTGCAAATGAGATGTACCATCTCTGGATAGTTTTGAACAAGTTCTAATTTCTGCTGAAACTGATGGGGGCTGTTCCTAACAACCATTTAAATAAATTGACTGCGATCCTAACGATGCCTTCTTCTAACAAAAAGGGCTGAGCTGCATCATTAAACTGCAGTCCCCACAGATTCAGTTTAAATGTTTTTCCTGAAATCGGCATTAAGAAAAGAGGTCCCTAAGTTCTGAAAAAGATAACAGGCATTCCTACAGAACGGTAGGAGCAGCTTCCTATCA